TTTCCCAGATGAGTGAGCTCCTGCTCTGTTCGTGGACAGTTTAATTCACAGACAGGTGAACCTCTGCCCATCGTTACTTCTGAGAGACTCCGTTCAGTCACTGAAATGTTCTTCGGATACTTAGTCCTCTTACTGACCTGTTGACAATTAAATTAATTTAAGAACTTGCATGTCCTGTCAAAATGCAGTGTGAATGCTGACACTGGATGATTTTCACTGAAAGCTGCTGAGGAGGTTGCAAGAAACCTGCTGAAAAGATCTCATGGTTGAACTGGTATGAGTGGAATTTGAACAGCTGACATTTAATGAAGCTGAAACAGACAGAGATAGGCTAAACATATTACAGAAAATATGAAATTAGCAAAAAGTCACTTTAAAAATGAGCAGAAAAATGCTGAAATTAGCAAAAAGCAACCAAAAACGCTAATAAAAACAACAACAAAAAAAAGCTGAATTGGCAGAAAGAGGCTGAAAAAAGCACTACGAGTTTAAATTATTAAAAAGAAGCACAAAAGGCCAAAATTAGCAAAAAATAAATAAAATCAGAGAAGCTAAAAATTAGTAGAAATACCTAAAAAGTAGCCGAAAAAGCAGAAAAAAGCTGAAATCAGCAGAAAAAAGCCAAAAGAAAAAGAATGAGAGAGCTGAAATCGGCTCAAAGGGACATAAAATAGCTGAAAAACCTGAAATGAGCTGAAAGAAGCTGAAACAGCTTAATCAGAACAAAAGCTGAAATGTGTAGTAAAAGGTTTAAAACAGCTCAAACGGTTTGAAGGATGTGAAGATGCTCCATTCATTTTCTATGAGCAAAACATGGCAGAAAAAGCAAAATATTTCAAAAAGTAAGAATTGCACCAATTCCAAAAGTCATAGCAGGAATGTGCTGAACGAGCTGAATGTTTTCATTTATGAACTTTTAGCATAAGAATTGCGCAACGAGTTACGAGCTCAAAAAAAGGGAAGGAAACGGATAGTTGCAAAACGCTCCTCCGGTTGTTTGTTATTTGTTTTCTACAGCCTTTTGTTGCCTCTTACACAACTTTTTTAAACTCTAATTTACCCTTCGTCTTCGGATTGAGATGGGGTGCGAAGCTCGATCATCCGGGAGGAGCTCAGATTAGAGCCGCTGCTTCTCCACATCGAGAGGAGCCAGTTGAGGTGGCTCGGGCATCTGCTTAGGATGCCTCCTGGACGCCTCCCTGGTGAGGTGTTCTGGACACGTCCCACCGGGAGGAGGCCCAGAGGAAGACCCAGGACACGCTGGAGGGACTATGTTTCTCAGCTGGTCTGGGAACACCTCGGGATTCCCCTGGAGGAGCTGGACCAAGTGGCCGGGGAGAGGGAAGTCTGGGCCTCCCTACTTAAGCTGCTACCCCCACGACCCGACCCCGGATAAATGGAAGAGAATGGATGGATGGATAAATTACTCTTTCCCCCCAAAATTGTAAAATTTCTTAACATTAGTGTGTTTACTCTGCTCCACTTGTTTTCTCTCTCTCTCTTTCAGCTGCTCCTTCTTCAGGGGTCACCACAGCGAACCAAGTCGCACGAAGATTTGTCGATTATTTTTACGCCGGAGGTCCTTCCTGACACAACCACAGACCACCGAGCTACCACAGCCTCTGTGTGGAGCAGAGAGCTGCCATCTAGGACGCCCGGGGGAGAAGATGGTGGGGGTTAAGGGCCTTGCTCACCACCCACATTTTTGGTGTTGTCGGTACCGGGACTTGAACCAGCGATCTTCTGACCACAGGCTCATCTTCTTTAACCTCTGTGCCACCGCTTCCTATTTACCTATTTACTCTCTGTGTTTATTTCACCACTCCGTTTCCTCTGCTCCACTGTGAATACAATCTTGATGAGCAAATCATTGCGCTCTGCTTTTATTTTCATTTAACCCAGCAGCCCAACTTTTTGGAATTAAGGTGTGTACATTCATGCATGAGTCAGTTCTGTCTTGTGTTTGTCTCCTGAATCGTCTCCAGCTCTTGTCACGTTTGTCTTACACCTTAATGAATGATGGATGAGATTCAGACCCAGCACTGTGTTCGTCATGTCCCTAAAGCTGAAGGGAAGGATTTGATCTCACATTAGAAGCAGTTTATCACACACGGCTGGAACATGAATAAAATATCTGCTACAATAAGACGTGTTCCTCAGAGTTTAACTGTCAGAATTGAGTTATGCTCAGAGATTATTTCAGCGCAGCTAAATACAAATTGTCCTGCAGCAGCTGAGCCTCCTGTGTGATCAGTGAGTATCTCTGCAGCTTCTCTGTTCGACAGTAAAGGGAAGTTTTCTGTTTGGATGAGTCACACCTCAACGCTTGGTCAGACTGATAGACGAACTGCAGACACCCTCATGAATCACAGAACATTTACGGAAGTGATGCAAGGCCCTTTTCAGCTCACAAATGCAATTTCCATTCATAAAACTAAACTAAACGAGACAGAAAACAACTCCAGAAAGAGTTAAATGACGTTCAATAGTGGCGTATCTGAAACAACACTAACACAAATGTTCTGACGCTTGGGGACCTCTCTCTTCTCTCTCCCTTTTTTTAACCTCACAGAACTTGTTCAGCAAGACGAGAAAGCACATCTCTGAGCAATAAAACGTGCTGCGACACGTGGACGCAGCCTTGGGGTTGTGAATGAATGAACTGTGCAGAGATAAACACGATGAATCCACCACTGAAGTGTAACTGGAAGTAAGAAAAGACTTTGAGTTCACTTTAAAGACACACAAAGCATTTTTAACGGATGCTGTTTAAACCTTATCTGTTTACTGAGCACAGGTGGGAGGCTGTTTCCTGGAAAGTCAGAGGTTGAGAGCATAATTTCAGACAACAGAGGTTGAAGTCCCCTCATTGGAGACGAAGCATCGTCACCAGCCACCAGTCACCAGTCACCAGCCACCAGTCACCAGTCACCAGTCAACATGCGTCCCTCCTGTTTGCTGATGGAGCAGCGCAGCAGGGACGTGTCAGGATACGTCGTCTCTGTGACATCAGTCTTGGCACATTTGTCTCAAACTTTGGGAGGAAACTGGTTTGTGATCACAGTCAGATCAGTAAAATGTGTCATGATAATCTGATCGACAGGTTTTAAAGCTACATATTCAGTCACATGCACCTGCATGTACAGGGGCAGTGCACCATGAAATCTATTGTTAGATTAAAGGCCCAGCCTCATATTTTCACATCTGAGCTTTAAACTAAGATTATCTCTCCATCTCCATCTTCTTCCAAAGGCAACAGGTCCAGGAGAAAACCCCAGACACCCCTCTGCCCAGCGACCCTCTCCAACTCCTCCTGGGGGATCTCGAGGCGTTCTCAGGTCGAAGAAGATATGCAATCCCACCAACCAACTCTGTGTCTGCCCCGGGGCCTCATACCAGTAGGACATGCCCAGAGAACCCCCAACGGGAGTTTTCATTCATACTCATCTGCTCACACAGACGCATGTTTGTGCTGCTGTGCAGCAGATTGTTTTTGTACTAGTGCTTAGTATATTTTTAGTTTAGTGTATTTTTTAGTTCAGACCTTAGATCTTATTACTGTTTTTGTCAGGAACCTGCTGGAGTCTCCCACCAGTTTGAAACTGGGGTAAGTGTTCACCTTCCAGCAAGACAACGAGCCCAAACATACTGATGAAGCGACAGCTCCACTGGTTTAAGGAGAACCAATTGGTCAAAGCCTCAGTCCAACTGAGAAGCTCTGACTTGAGTTAAAGTTTGATGGACACAAACAGCACCGTCCAACCTGAGGAAGCTGCATAAAGAATTGATAATATGGACCAAACTTATGAGGATGGAACTGAAGAAACTTGTGCTGACTTTTGCAAAAGGTGACTCTACACTTAGTTTAAAGTTCACGGCTTAATCTATAGAAACAGATTTACAGTTCAGGTTTGTTGTTAATGAGGCTTTTGTTTCTTTGAGACATCAAGTTCATTTAAGGTTGTGCTACTTTTCTTTGTCCAGTAGATGGTGTGTAAGTCTTTTGCAATGACAAACTTCAATGATTTTTTTTTTACATTTCCTCCATCTGTTTATTTGTCTTGTTGCAAAATGGTTTTGTTTCCTATGAAACAGCTGCCTCAGGTGTGGTGCTCAGATTCCCACCAGTCCATTGAGTTGAAGACAGGCTGTTTGGACATGTCCATGTGGTCGAATAACGTGAGATACAACACATGAGCCATCCAGGGGAAGGGAATTAAACATCCTGCCTCTGTCTCACAGCTGGAGCACTTTAAGTACAGTTACATGAATAACTGTTTCTGTTCAGTGCCCAGAGATAACTTCTGTTGTGACTTGGCACTATTAGAATTAAATTGAACTGAATAGAATTATGGACCTGGGAGTGTTTAAGTTTGTTTGCTGTTTAAAAACAGTAAAGTGTTCAGGAGTGTGGAATTGAAAACAATCAGTGTTATTTAAAAATACTTCTCATGCAGTTAGGTTTCTGATTTAATTTTCAACGAGGTCCAGTTTAGTTTCATGTCCTCATTTTTTTCCAAACAGCATTTTAAGTACAAACAAAAGTGAACAAATGACGGCTGCCACTCTGGATATTTCGCGGGAATTCCCCGAGCGTCAGTGAAGCGTGAATGAAAACCAATAATGGAACAGTTCACTGAATCCGAAAACACTTAAAGCTTTGAGTTTTACTAAATAAAAAAGGGTTTAGTGTTATGTTTATGCCTTTTACACTTAAAAAGAACTCACTCACTGCATGCGTATGTTTTGGTGACGTTGGAACGAACAAACGTCTTTTTGTCGTAGGGGTGCAGACGCGGCCATATTTTGATATTATTAATTTGTTTAAATACACTACTTATTATATTGAGATATTTATACATATTTATATATATGCTTATCAGTTTTATATATATTTATCCACATTAACAATTTACTGTTTGATACGTAAAGACGGTAGTTTCTTCCACCCCTCTTGGGAGAATAGTGGTTCGGTCCGCTCGGAGGCTGCTCTTGCGGCTTCAGCTCAGAGGACCTGCCGTCACGCGCAGCACTTTGTTTAATGTCTTAGACCACTGGGGTTCTGCGCTCGCGCCAAAGGAACATCTCTGAACACACCTGTAAGGATAAAGGTGGGTTTCTCAACAAAGGGGGGCGTCACAGTTATCACTCGTTGAGTCCGTGGTGTCCCTCCCGTTTATTAAACCCAGAATAACGGTCACGATCCGGCGAGAACAGAGAGCTCGGAGGATGCGCGCGCGCCACTAGCTTAACTTCTTGTTAGCAGTGTGTAATTTATCGCCATGCAGGAGATCGGTCGATCACTGGGTCACTGATCTGCACACCGTCGAGCTAACAGCCTGTTCTGGTGTTCGGCAGAACAAACGGAACCGGTCCAGAAGGTCGTGATCAGAATAACGTTTTCAACCAACATGAAAAGTTATGCGAGCCTCGTGCTTAATGGCTAACTTTGACCTGTTGTGGTTTTGTTTCGGCCTGCTGCAGCTCGGCTCGGCCCTTCGTGTTCTGAACGTCCAGGTTCGGTTCTGTCAGAGCTCTAGTTTCAGCTTCAGAGCTTTCTGCATGACTCGGACCCATCTGGCACAAAGACGAGTCAAAGGTTTAGTTTGGCTTTTGATTTTCATTTGGCAAATCATGTCTCCCCTTGAATGTCCCTTTTTGATAAATCTGCTTATGTTTGTAATTTTTAGTTTTGAATGAGCTAAATCTGTTTGAAATTGAAACGAGTTATTATTATGTTTGTAAATTTTGAGCTAACTTTATTAAGACGATCCCCAAAAAAGTTAAGAAAACAACTAGACTTATTCTGAAGCTGAAGATGTTTTACCTTTTCACCTTTATCAGTTCAAAATGAACATGTGTGCACAATCACATTTTTGCTTTTAAGACAACTTGACTGTAAAATGCTGTGCGTTTATTGAACTTTAACATTTTTTCCATTTTTTTTTTAACTGGTTATTTCAAACCATGTGAATTTGTTTCAGTGGACACACATCTTTGAGCTGAGTTTAACATATCTGAGCTTGGTGCTGTTCACAAAGTTACCTGTAGGTCGGATTTAAAACATCATAAAATGGAGCACAGGAATAGTTTATTGAAAATATTCGGCTCCTGTAATTATTTCAAGTTAACGTTACAAAAACAACCATTTTAAAGCCCTAACTTTCATCACAAGTTTGCATCCAGTTTATTCAGAGGCGAGACGCGATTCTGAAAAACAAGTTTTAAAGTTTTGTAAACTTTCCGTGTTGTTGGTTGTGTTTCAGCAGAACTATGGACGAGGAGGAGCAGTTTGTGAGCATCGACCTGAACGATGACAATATCTGCAGCGTCTGCAAGTTGGAGACAGAAACGGGGACCCTGTCTTTCTGCCACGTCTGCTTTGAACTCAGCATTGAGGGTAAGGAACAAAACCGAGAGGGGGCTTTTGTTTGAGAAGAGCAAACAAAGTAATGAGGTAGAAAATAGACCTCTTTGTTTTTATACGACACATTCTTCCTCTTCGGTCGCTAAATAAAATGGATTAAGAGCAACAAAACGTGCTAAAACCGTGATCATCTGGCAACCTGTGGGCCACTTCCAGGCTTCTTTTCAGGCCTTTGCGGGTGGTGAGTTCTGTGCTACAAGCTTAAAATAAAGATAAAATCTACTGCCTGGAAATAAACTATTGTTTGTTACATTATAAAACTTAAGAATCTGCATTAAACTGTTGACATTTATGGGCCTTTTTTATGTTTAGCCAAAAGAAAACATGAATTTAAAGATGAGAATTTTTAAAAAATAGTTTATTCCCCCTTTATTAAAACACCTTTCTTTGTGAAAACAAACAAATCAACAAAAAAAAACAATCATCCTGCTTTAAAGTAATAGTGTTAAGGGAAAATAAAATAGTCCAATTTGTTTTTGTAACTGATTATTTAAAAAAAATTCCACAGAGACCTTAATCTACTTCACCTCTTAAGTATTTAGTAAGCTTTTATTTATTCTTATAGCTATTGCATGGACTTGCTATTTTTTTTGCAGCAGCCCTTATTTTCTTGACTTGTAACATGTTATGTTTGCAAAACAGCACTTTGTTTTTCTTATCAACAACTTGGCTTCAGAATGCTTTATGTTGGATCGTAGAGAACGTTCACTCTGCCACTGGATTTTAAGGTTTTAGATTCGCTCATTTTGACTCTTTGCTGTTGTTGCTTTTAGGATTAGTGTTGAAGTTGTGAGTCAGGGCTGACTGGCTGCAGGATTGTTATTCAGCCTCGGTACAAGCAGTTATGCAAAACAACATAGACAAAGTTCGGTTAGAGAAATGAAGATTGTAAACGAGTACCTCATGCAAAACATCTGATTTAGCATAAAGTCAAACTGCGCAGTAACATTCGAGTTTGAGTTGGTTTAGAAGACATCACAGTGAGCTGCTAAGCTCGATGCTTCTCCTCTTCTTTCTAAAACCTGAATGTGTTGTTGCTCTGACTGCTGTCTGCTGCAGATAAGATATTGACTGAAAGCCTAAACAGGTTGTTTGTTAGTTGAGACAACTCAATAGCATTGATCAGGGATGACAGCACAAGAATTGTAAGGACTCCCCAAAGTCCAGGATGTCAGGCAAACAGCGCAGCATACCCATGCTTAAAGGCTCCAATGCTTTGTCCATGTAAACTTGGAGTGTATTGAAGCAATGCAATAACATTAATAATCAATAATGCACCTTGCTGTGTAGTGGTGGTTCAACATAAGGGACTAGCAGGTCTGGGAACTGAACCGAAGTAATAAAAAGGTAAATGTGGCGTTCCCGGTGTTTCCACACTGATTCGTGCTCTTTTGCCTCAGTGAAAAATCGAACCGGTGACACATTCCATACATGATGAATACCCTCGATGTACCATGTAGTGCTGCTTTTATTTTACTTTCTTAGCCATGTTAGAGATCAGTTCTTTTAATCCATTTTTCAAAAGTAAAAAAAAAACATTTTTGTTTTTTATGGTTGCATAGTCCCTCGCTAATTCGCGATTTGTTTATCACGGATTCGCTATATTGTGGTTTTTCAAAATAAGATTGGACATGACACAATGGCTGATTGATGGATGAATCATGGATTGTTTATTCAAAATAGATTATTTAAAATGATTTTGCACCATGAGTGAAGGGAAAGCTCCCTCCTGCAGCCTGTCATGATCTCCTTCTCTGCCACCAGATGCACCGATCAACTTTTGTCTTCCAACTTAAAATTAAAAGTTTGTCACATCGTAAAATCGTCATCACAAAATATAAAAGTGTTAAAAGTTGTTTTTAATTATTTTAGAACTTCCATGTTCAGTTGTTTCAGTGTAATTAATCAAGAAGTACGTTTCTGCTCCGTGCTGCAGAGCTGCGTGAAGGTTAACCCTTTGATGTCCTGCTGCACTTCTCTTCTCTACAGTTTAAATTTAAACACTGTAACATTTTAAATAAACAATCCATGCTGTATGGATTGTTTATTTAAAATGTTACATTATTTAAATTGTTTATTTGTGGAAGGAGATTGGGAGTAACAGGTGATGAGTGTGATTGCAGCCTGGCACGTGTCATGACAAAGTTTACTGAACTTGAACTTGGACTACTGTATCCCTACTTCGAGGTTTTTCACTTGGAGGGGGTGGGGGGGCAGGGTACGGAACACACGTGATAAACGAGGGACCACTGTTTAAGCTTTTATTGCAAGTCTAACGACTGCATGACCAGGAAGCTGAATTAAGCGCCTAAAGAGACAAATTAGCGTGGGTGGGTTGAAAAAAGCTGTTCGGTGCTCTAGTTAGTTTGTGACACGAAAGGAGAAAGCGTGTAAAACATAATGGGTGGATGACATACCTGTTCAGGGACTGAAGTCACTGCTATGGGATCAGGGTGCTCCTCTGTCGGTCAGTTCCTTCCAATGAAGTAAGTACTGGTACTCCTGTTTACTTTTGTCCAGTCGACCCTAACGATCACATTTCTCTCCAGAGTCATCGGCTTTGGAAATGGCAAGAACCAAATATTTCATATGAGGCTTGTCAGCATATCGGCTGTCTCTATTGCAAGTCCCGTAGCAACAAAACCATTTTTCTGCTGTTTTTTTTATCGGCGCAAACCACTGTACTGAACTGTAGCTGAGGTTCTGTTTGCCCTAAATCTGGGAACTTGCTGACATCACATATTGTGTAGGGAGCTATTTTTAGTAACCCTGTCATAGCCCTTTTAAGCTTCAGAATGTAACAGGGCAGTCAAATTAGGATTATAAATTTTTATCTGAAGAAATCACAAGATTCTTGCAAAATTATATTTCTCAGAGTCTTGATACTCGCACAAAGACAATGTTACAGCCTCCACCAAAATTGTAGTTGGAAGATAATTAATGCAAGTTGTTGATGTAAACTGGACGGACTTTAGTTGGATTTTAGTTTTTTGTTAAGTAAAGATTGTGTAATATTATGCCGGGCTTTGTCCTTTAGTTATTTTTATTTATGATCCTTTTTAAATTGTCATGGTTCTAGCTGCCAGGTGTTTGGATCATCACATAAATCATTTACAGACATGTCAACAAATGTTCTTGATCATCAGTGCCTGTCTTGGTGAACATATGACAAGGACTAATACAGGCTGTCATCACGTTGATGTCTCATATCTCCTCCAGCAACAGTTTATAATATACAGTTTATGTATGCGGGGAAGTGGGATCGTAGAACTAAAGTGCTCACTCGGCCTACAATAAGTCTCCTGTTTGATGTGCCACTCCAACCTGAGAGCGCGTTTGAAGGTTTTTCATTTTCCAATTAGCGAGCGGCCCGTTTGAAGAAGAATGGGGATCCTGAAGGGTTTGAGTATTCATCTCATTTAATGACACAAAGCCTTTGTTCTGCAGAAATTAAATTAGTTTTTTATCAGTGCACAGTATGAATATTTACCATTCATAAAATGACTATACAATTCTAGGAGCTGAGACAGTTCTCAGTAAGGTCAATCACTCACATAATAGTTACACGTGTATTTCTGTTATGATTGAAGGGAAGAGTGTGTGGGTACACATTGTTGTTTCTATTGTGCAGTGAAGTTGTCACTAAGTGTTTGCAGCTCATTAATCTTCTTTCAGCTGAATGATTCCTTTGGCATAAACCAGAGCCAAGGTTTTCTGTCATGTAAGTGAAACATAATCTCAGAAATTTAAAGGGGCTGAAGAAATATTAATAGAAACGATAAATGATTTGTAATTTATCTAGCACGTTTTCTATCGACATGTTCACACTCTGTACCTGAGCAAAAGGCTGCTGTGCATTATTTCCAGTGTTTGACCTGAACAGCCGCAACATGAGATTATTTTGGTCTACCAGGTAATACTGCCATGCCACGGAAGCTGTGGATGATGATGTGTGTTCCTCCAAGCAATGCTAGGCCAGCACTGATCACCAAATTTTTGTTAAGGTTGCTGAATTTACTCAACAAAGATCGGTTACGTTTTGACTGCTACAGTTTTATTTACCGGTACCTGTTTTCTTCAGTGGTAGTCATGCTTGTTGGCTTTGTTAAACACATTTGTAGATAATCAGGTCAGATTTTCTGCTGATGGAAACATTTTTGCTCACACAGAACCTTGTTTTGTTACAATATACAGTGCTCATGTTTTCTTTTTTTATTCCTTAACCTGAGGACAGATTTCCCTCAAAGTATCCATACCTTGGTGTGTTTCATGGAGATGCTTGGTGTTTGTGGCTGTAATGTAACTGCTGGGTCTCAGTAGATGTGTAAGACAAGTTTGGATGTGCAGCACGTGTTTCTGATGCAGCTCAACATTGTATTGTTGGAAGGAGAGCTTGTGGGCAGCACGGTGGCACAACTGGTAGAGCTGCTGCCTCTCAGCGAGCAGGTCCCTGGTTCAAATCCCTGTCCGGGGCCTTTCTGGGTGGAGTTTGCATGTTCTCTCCGTGCATGCGTGGTTTTCTTCTGGTACTCCAGTTTCCTCCCACAGCCCAAAAACATGCATGTTAGTCTGATTGGTAACTAAATTGTCCCTAGGTGTGAGTGAGAGTGAATGGTTGTTTGTCTCTATGTGTCCCTGTGATGGACTCGAGACCTGTCCAGGGTGTACCCCGGTGCCTCTCGCACAATGATAGCTAGATATGGGTACCAGTGATCCCCGCGACCCGACAAGGAAGAAGTAGGTAAAGATGATGGATGGATGGTTTTCCAAAGTTTAACTTATTCTGAATCCATGTGAATTTATCCGTCATGGTGTTAAGACAGTTTGTCATTGGGCGGCAACTGAGGGCTTGAAAGTTTTGCACATCCTTCAGTGTTTTGGCCTTGGACTTCACGAAGTGCTGACTAGATGCCCTGAAAATTGTCCTTATAATATTCACTGCAGATGTCAAAAGACTCATGTTTTCATAGTTT